GTTACTCACGCGCTGTTCTCGCACACAATCAAAGCGCGCACAAGAGACATGTTTCAGACAGCGCGGAAATACCGAGCTGCGTATACATACACATAAAATGAGCCTATGTCAAAAACCCTTCACGGCATTGTCATTCTCTGTGCTATAAATATTTTTTTTCTATCTTATCCGAAAAAAATAGTCCGATCTGTGACTCAAAAAACCCACAATATAATGCGTTGAACCACCACCAGAATATATAATGCTATTATAATACTATATAATAGCCTAATATATATATTTTCCAAACGTAACCGGTCCGTGGTGTAAAAAAGGTTGGAGACCCCTGCTCTAGCGAACAGTGAGTCAGGCTTTCAAAGCCGCTACTTCCTTATTATCAAAAAAGATAGCAGGCTCAGGCCCATTCTCGATCTCAGGCATCTGAACCGCACGCTTATGAAACGGCCGTTCAGGATGCTGACTTTGAAACAGATCCTCACACAGAGACTGGATTTTATCGGTGGATCTGAACGACGCTTACTTTCGCATACAGATAACCCCTCATCACAGACTGTTCTTGAGATTTGCGTTCAAGGGGGTGGCTTAGCAATATACAGTCCTGCAATTCAGACAGATGGGAATCTGCATTATGAATTGCCTCGGCGATTGGCTTGTGTTAGCCTAGGGTTGTCGCGATAACTGCAATACCACGCTATTGATGAGCAAACCGCAGAGGAATGCAACAACAGATGAATGAATCAGCGTTTTTGAACGTGTAGTTGAATGAACGGTTTAAAGACTCACTCAAAGACAATCCCTTGCTTCTACTTTGTGGTGCAACAATCTAACTGCACTGACTAACAGCCCGTCTAGAACGCGTGCAGGTGGAAATATCAATAGAAAGTCTCTTGTCCAGTCAGATTCGAGGATCAGAACTAACTGTTATACATATAGGCTAACAATAGCCTAACAATCTTATTGTCAGGTTAATGTTCTGTTATGTGGACTGTTATTTTGTCATTCTCTTCTGTTTACTTCACTTCCTGTTTCAACGCTATTTGGTTTCGGTTTCATTGGTTTCTGAATATGACCT